ACGCACGACCCACGACGACGACGCCCGACGACGACACCCGACGACGACCACGACGACGACGACGACGACGACGACGACGAACGACGCACGACGCACGACGCACGACGCACGACCCACGACGCACGACGCACGACGGACGACGGACGACGGACGACGGACGACGGACGACGGACGACGACGACGACGACGCACGACGCACGACGACGACGCACGACGACGCGACGACGACGACGACGACGACCTGGTAATGCCAGGTAATGCGCTTTGTAATGCCATAAAACAAAGCACGCTCATAATATCCTGGTAATGCCAGGTGATGCGCTCATCTTGGAAGTGAAGTAAAAGTCCTGTTTAACATTTTAGCTTTGTAATGCCACAAAACAAAGCACGATTGAAAACAATGAAAGCATGCAATGAAAGCATGCAGCAACATGGCAAATGATCAACACCTGAACTCAACGGTTCAAGCGGTCAACAATGCTTCGACATTTTCGGCCACCCAGCACCCTAAATTTTCCGGAAATTTACGGAGCTGGGCCGTGGCTTCTGAACATGATCAGGCTGCATCCATTTCCTAAATTTCCTGAAAATTTTGGGTGTGTAAATTTTCGGAAAATTTAGGAAAGCGATGAAGCAAATTTTCCGGAAATTTAGGGACCGAGGCTTCGGGCTACCCGGAACCAGAAATTTTCCAGAAATTTAGGGGAGCGAATCCGGCTTGCGGCCATCGAAGAGGCCCAGCCTTCCAAAGGGCACAGCCCACCGGGAAATTTTGGGTCCCGGGTAGGCCAAAGCGGCTTGCTTGCCGGGGTCCAGAAATTTCCGGAAAATTTTGGGGCTGGGGCACTCCGAGGCGTAACGCACCGCATAGAGCTGGTTTGACCGTAGCGTTTTATAGAGTAGATAGATCCAAGAAGATTGCGAGTCCACCACCACAAAACCACCACCACGAGACCACCACCACAAGACCACCACCACGAGACCACCACGACCACCAACACAACCACCCGCACGGACCCCCGCACGGACCACCACCACGGACCAACCACCACGGACCAACCACCACGGACCACCGCCGCAGACCACCACCACGGGACCACCACCACGGGACCACCACCACGGGACCACCACCACGAGACAACCACCACGGGACCACCACCACGGAACCACCACCAGGAGACCACCACCGCGGACCACCGCCACGGACCACCGCCACCCGGCCACCACCACGGAACCACCACCACGGCCACCAGGGACCACCACCACCACGGACACCGCCACCACCACGACAGACCACCACTACCACAGGAGCACCACCACGGGACCACCACCACGCTGTGGGACCACCACGACGAACCACCACGGGACCACGGACCACCACCACGGGCATTCGGGAAAACCCCCCAAAACCCCAGCCTTTCAGCCCCAACCCCTCAGCACCCCAAAACCACCCACCCCCCACCACACCCGACAGAACCCAAACCATTACAGCAAAAGCAAAAAACAAAACCCCCCCAATACACGACAAAACTCCGGACACAAACCCTACACAATTTCTATTAAACCCCAAAACCCTACACCGTAAAGCGTAAAACCCTGAACCCGGGGGATCCCGAAAATTCCCGGAATTTTAAATTCCTAGGATTTTTCGAGAGCTGTTGCTGATATGTGATCGTGAGGCCGAACCCCCTTGAACAACTGGCGGCCGGCGACCGTCATCGGAACTACTCTGGACCAAGAGATTTCCTTGAAGATTTCCTTGAAGGGGAAGGGGCACCCACATCATCCCTGTTGCGTTGGAACCTCAAAATCCAACCCGGCAAGCCCAAACCTCAATCCGGACAATTCCTAAAATTCCGGGAATTTTCAGCTCCGGGTGATTCCCAAAATTCCCAGTTTTTTTTTAGACAAAAAGTGTTAAAATTCCCGGAATTTTCAGGATCCCCCTGCAAGGTCCTCACAAGCAGCCAAAAATGGACCGGAAGAGGAGGCGGGGCATCCGACAGAGCGGCCGCAGAGCGAAAATAGGGATCGAGCCCGTAGCCTTTTATGGGGATATAATTCTAGCATACACTCATATATCTTAGAATGCTAAATAATCCTATAAGAGACAATCAATCATAGAAATCCATTATTAGCATCAAAAATCCTAATATATTTCAAGTAGAATGATCAATAATAGTTCAATAAATCGTGCCAAATCGTATTTCCCAAAGAAATTTGAATATCAGATTTATTTCCTTATCGAAGATATCCGAGAATATAATGACCGTACTTTTCCATAAATTGCCCGTAGAATAAACAAATAATCCCCTACAAAAAACGATACCCCAGCCGCAGACCCATAATATCAGAAGAAAATCTATGAAATCACGAATCAATAGATAGTATTCATCATCACGATCCAGAACCTGGCAAAAATGATCATTCTTCTTGTAAATTATATTGATAATATACTCTTTCTTCTTCAATGAAAATAATCAAATCTTACAATCTCTAAATTGATTAGAACTTAGATTTCTAATCACGAAGCGCGCATTATTTATCTTGATGTTTTCTTACAAATGTTGCGATGTGGGGTGTAACATCATGTCTTGTTCGCCTCCTCCGCTCTCTAGCCCTAGTCCGTGACATTGGGATCTGGCATCACTGCCGTATCGATGACAAACGTGAGCGTCGAGATCCGCTTTGATCCGTACACTTTCAATGTGGTATAGCCATTGTTGCAGCTAACTGGGAACTGCTTGCTGATGCCTTGTGCAACCACCCTGGCAGTGCCAGCAACTTTCAACCCCCCCGGGCAGGCAAATCTGAACCGGTTGGGGCTATAGCGGTCGTCGGCAAAATACTTGATGAAGTAATAGCCACCCTCTTTCAGGTTGTAGCGATCGCTCACCAGCTGGCCCTCTGTGGGGAATTCACCGGAGGGCTTCCAAACGAACTCTTCTTTGCCAGAATCCGTGACATTGAGCTCAGGTATCACTGCCTCATCGATGACAAACGTGAGCTTCGAGATCCGCTTTGATCCGTACACTTTCAACGTGGTGTAGCCATCGTTGCAGCTAACGGGGAACTGCTTGCTGATGCCTTGCGCAACCACCGTGGCAGTGCCAGCAACTTTCAACCACCCCGGGAAGTCAAATCTGAACCGGTTGGGGCTATAGCGGTCGTCGGCCAAATACTTGATGAAGTAATAGCCACCCTCTTTCAGGTTGTAGCGATCGCTCACCAGCTGGCCCTCTGTGGGGAATTCACCGGAGGGCTTCCAAACGAACTCTTCTTTGCCAGAATCCGTGACATTGAGCTCAGGCATCACTGCCTCATCGATGACAAACGTGAGCTTCGAGATCCGCTTTGATCCGTACACTTCCAACGTGGTGTAGCCATCGTCGCAGCTAACGGGGAACTGCTTGCTGATGCCTTGTGCAACCACCGTGGCAGTGCCAGCAACTTTCAACCACCCCGGGAAGTCAAATCTGAACCGGTTGGGGCTATAGCGGTCGTCGGCCAAATACTTGATGAAGTAATAGCCGCCTTCTTTCATGTTGTAGCGATCGCTCACCAGCTGGCCCTCTGTGGGAAACTCACCGGAGGGCTTCCAAACGAACTCTTCTTTGCCAGAATCCGTGACATTGAGCTCAGGCATCACTGCCTCATCGATGACAAACGTGAGCTTCGAGATCCGCTTTGATCCGTACAATTTCAACGTGGTGTAGCCCTCGTCGCAGCTAACGGGGAACTGCTTGCTGATGCCTTGCGCAACCACCGTGGCAGTGCCAGCAACTTTCAACCACCCCGGGAAGTCAAATCTGAACCGGTTGGGGCCATAGCGGTCGTCGGCCAAATACTTGATGAAGTAATAGCCACCCTCTTTCAGGTTGTAGCGATCGTGACATTGAGCTCAGGCATCACTGCCTCATCGATGACAAACGTGAGCTTCGAGATCCGCTTTGATCCGTACACTTTCAACGTGGTGTAGCCATCGTCGCAGCTAACGGGGAACTGCTTGCTGATGCCTTGCGCAACCACCGTGGCAGCGCCAGCAACTTTCAACCACCCCGGGAAGTCAAATCTGAACCGGTTGGGGCCATAGCGGTCGTCGGCAAAATACTTGATGAAGTAATAGCCACCCTCTTTCATGTTGTAGCGATCGCTCACCAGCTGGCCCTCTGTGGGGAATTCACCGGAGGGCTTCCACACGAACTCTTCTTTGCCAGAATCTGTGACATTGAGCTCAGGCATCACTGCCTCATCGATGACAAACGTGAGCTTCGAGATCCGCTTTGATCCGTACACTTTCAACGTGGTATAGCCATCGTTGCAGCTAACAGGGAACTGCTTGCTGATGCCTTGCGCAACCACCGTGGCAGTGCCAGCAACTTTCAACCCCCC